GGATCTTGCTGGAAGCCATGTTGATTGCGGATGGTGTGGAGAGAATCAGAACAACAACAATTGCTCAGCATGTATTGGCATCATGGAAATGATATCGTCTAGTTACGCAAATAGCTGTTAATTGTTAACGGAGCAGCCTATACAGACGCTTAGATGAACTTATGACTGTCATGAATGAACCGGAGCATGGTCGTGTCTCAGTCATGACGTCTACGATTTTAGCTGCCACCACGCCGTTCATGAATAACAATAATGAACGACTACACCCGAGATATCGCAACATGTACATACCACGAACAATCAATCGTTCAAGGAAAAGAATTTCTTACCTGAGATTGAAGAGTATCATAAACCACTTACTTCCAAAACCGAATAAATCATAACTACCAAAAATGGTGAAAGACGAGCAGACAGTCATCAAGTGAGCGAGCATCTCCCATCACACATCCTTTCAAAGTGCACGGTCTCTCTCGAAAGAAAGTAGACTAGACGCTAGACTAACCAGCGCCTCACCTCAGGGAATTCAACGACATTGTCAACATGTCGGCCTCGGAACTCGAGGACTGGCTCAAGGGGGAATCCTCCGAGTCGGCGGGCTGGAGCAAAAGCGACGGCTCGGGTGAGACTGTTGGACATGAGAGGTGAGTAGACTACGTGAAGGATGGAAGCACGTCGACTGTTATGCCCCTAGACACCCCTGATTCGCAAATCATAAATATGACACATACCTATATTCCATTGTCCCCCCTTCTCCCCCCTTTATTGTAACAACACCATTCAACCATACCACGATACACACATATACACACGCACACACACACACACACACACACGCACGTACCGAGAAATAAAACAGGAACAGTACTAGAAGGAAGAACAGGAACCATCAAACTACCTTAACCCCTTTCTCACCCCCCTCCTCCTCCTCCTCCTCCTCCTCCTCCTCCTCATCCTCCTCCTCCTCCTCCTCCTCATCCTCCTCCTCATCCCCCTTCTTCCCCCCGGCCTTCTCCTTCCTTTCCAGGGACTATCTATCTACTCAAAACTAAACAAAAACACACATATACAAAAAAGCGGCCGTAAGATCATCCAGATCCTCCAGAAGAACCCGGACAAGGACCCGGACGCCTACGACGCCGACGACGTCGACCACATGCGCCGCGTCGTCGCCTACTGCAAGCGGCACCTGGCGCAGGAGGGCAAGGCCAAGCAGGACCCGGAGAGCAAGAGCGCGAGGAGCTTGAAGAATTGGGGGCATGATCCTTTGAAGGGCTGATTCTTTTTTATTGTTTTTTTATTTTTTTATTGGGGGGGGGGGAGGGGGGGAGGATGTTTGTGTGTGGAGGGGAAAGAACGAAAAGGAAAAGGGACGGGCTTGATGAAAAAAAAAAAAGGGGGGGGGGGGGGGGGGGGGGGGTGCCCGAGTGGTCAGAACCAAAACTTCTATGTTCTCTGATCTACCTAACCTAGATATCTACTCTCCTTATACCAACAGCCACCCCTATCATTAACCTACCTCTACGGATTGGTAATATATATATATATATATATATGTATGTATATATATAATAAGTATTGGCATCACACTCTCCCCCGAACCCTCCTCGTCCCCCATCCTCCCAACACCGACTCCCAGCCCAGATCTGCTTTCAAGACGCTAAATACCCTTCTCTTCTCGCCATGATCTAGATACATACATCCACACGCTCGTTATGTCAGCAAGCCCCCCCTCTACCCCAACAACTCACAAGGCCTTCTTCACCTTGGGAGACAGACCTCCTTCCTCACTGCCCTCCTGAACCCTCCGTCTCGTGAGAACAGGCAGGTAGGTGTATAAGATAAGAAGAAACGTGCCTCCTCCATCGCACTTCTTTCTCCTTGGGCCCTCCCCAGCTAAGTAAGACTCAGCTCAATCCATAAGAATCCTAGAGTGGGTTTTTTTTTCTGTATCATTGATCGCCATCAGCGGACCTTTCGCCGCTGGTACCCCTTCCCCTTTCAAGTGTATTTATTTATTCCTCATCGCCTTTTTTTCCCACTGGTACATTACAATAGTTAACGCCGCTGAAAAACCTTCCTCCCCCAATACCTGCACCTCCCACCTCCTCCTCCTGCTGCTACCACTGTTGCTGTTTCTGTTGCGCGAGGAATATCCGTCGACGTATGGTACTTAGTTGTCATCGGAGGAGGAGGAGGAGGAGGGGGAGACGTCTGTCTTGCTTGCCTTGAAGCCCACCCCTCACTCACACCTTTCTTCTCCCTAACCCGGTTTAAGTTCACATATTAATAGACTGACCTCCTCATCATTATTTTACCTTACCTAACTACGGTGTCCCTGCTCGGCTCGCTTTTATCACAGCATACCCGCCCGACCTTTCCTTTCCTTTCCTTTCCTTTCCGTACCCGACCAAGCTTGTATGTGCTCCGGCTTGTCTCGTCCCCGCCTCCATCCCCACTCCCCCCTTTACCTACCGAACGGACCCCCTCGAACTCCCCGTCCCGGCGAAGCGAAAGAGAGAGAAACGAAAAAAAAAAAAAGAGAAAAAATAAAACTGAAGAAGAATATTCCCACGCCGGTCGGTTGGTTGGTCGGTCGGATCTGAGCCCTTTGGAGGCCATTCCGATGGTGATGACCTGACCTCGTGCTGCTTGGTGGGCTCTGGCGCCCGAAAGGGGAGAAAGAGAGAGGAGGGAGGGACGGAGGAAGGGAGGAAGGGAGGAAGGGAGGAAGGGAGGAAGGGAGGAAGGGAGGAAAGGGCTTCTTCATCTCATGTGGTGGCATGGTATGGAATGGGATAGGATCGTGAATTGAGTTAGTCATGATGATCTTCATCATCATCACCCTCGAAACCCCCCTTATTCACCCCTTAAAGGACTCATCTTAAGGTGGGCAGTGACCGGCGCATCAAGTAGATTTTCATGCATTACCTACAGTCGGACTTAGCATATTACATAATAGTAACAAACACACACACACACATACAGAAAAACAACGTACCTTACATATTTTCATTCCTGCTTATAAATTAAAATGAAGTAAAATAATTACCTATTAGTTGCGTGAGATTGTGTAAGAGAAAAAGAACGGGCTTGGAAGCCCTAACTACCTACCTAGGTAGTTACTTAGGTAAATAAAGGATGGAGATACGTAGCCTAGCGCTCGCTAACAACCAACCCCCTTTTTGACCACTGCCGGGCTAGCATATATATACCTCTAATAAATACCAAATCTATACACAACCAAGCAGATCGGGAGAGCGTTAGAAAAAAGAAACAAGGCAGTCTGCTCTGTAAAAAACAAAATAGCGGGGATAGCTCAGTTGGGAGAGCGTCAGACTGAAGTCAAACTTCATCCTTATTTATATCTGAAGGTCGTGCGTTCAATCCGCACTCACCGCAACATCTTTTTTTTTTTGGCTTCCTTCTTCTCTCTTGCTGGCACTCTCTCTATTTATTTTGACCATTTCCCTCCCTCATCGTATCTGTGCTGAGGAGCCGGGGGTATCATAGCTGGCTTTCATTAAGGGGTGATGAACTTGGGACCTAGGTCTGCTAGAGCTGGTTGGTAAGAAGAACGTTCTCTCGACGACATGGTTGCCACCCGGCTATACTGAGCGGGATACAGGGTAGCCGGGTGTTCCCCCCCCCCCACCCCCCTCCCATGACGGTGCAATGAGTAAATACACTGAGACTCAGGGATCCGAGGTGGTGATGTACGTCCAGGACCTTCGTTGCAAGACTTCGACTTCGACTTCGGCTTGATCTCTCGGCGAGCTCTGGTTATTCGGGCTATGCGATGTCAAGCGCATTTGCCTCCGTGGCCATCTAGTCACCCAAACGTGGTGTGCCGCAAGTAGAATTGTATGTTGGCGCCCGCTGGGCTGAGCGAGGTCTTGAAGCCGCTGGCGAGCATGACGCTGGCGAGCATAAGGTTGGCGCTTGGGTAGGTCATGTCCATACCATCCATCTATCATACATCTCTTCTTATACATCGACGATACCACCTGCGTAGTGTCAGTACACTTATGATATCAGATATTTGTCTCCTCTAGGATGATAATGATCTCTTCTTTTCGTACCTAAACTCCACCAACATACGCCTCTTAGTGATACTGAAAGGATTGGGTAGCATGACGCCAAAAGACAGTATGTAGTAGTTGACAGTAAGTAGTATGAGCAAGATGGTGCTACCTACCTAGGTACCTGGTACCCAGATGACCCAGATGAGCCATCTTCCGGTCACGCCCATGTTCTTCGCCAGGTGTTTTGCCAGGTGTTCTGCGCCGATATCAATTTGTTCCTTCCCATGGCGTCACATCCCAGAACTGGGGAGGGGACGAGGCTGTCTGGGTATTTGCATTTGGCGTGGGTCGTTTGGGATTCACCAGTATGTGGTGCTTGCTTGCCTAAGAGATCATCCCAAGATGCAATGGAAGAAGAGCACGATGTACCAAGCAGCCCAAAGGACGGGCGTCTCCAGGGCTCAATCCCAAGATTCCATCCCCTCCCTGTTCCTCTCTGTCTCTTTCTCTTTCCCTCTCTTCCCTCATGAAGCAAGGCTCTAAATATCCCCCCCCCCCCCCCCCCCCCCCCCCCCCCAAATCTCCAATAAAGGGGCCCGCTGGCACCAGGGCGTCAGCAATAGCAGTCCTCACATCGTGTGTGTTTTTAACGATGAAGAGCGGGGGTGCAATTCTCGCTGCTGGTGAGGCAGCAAGTTAATATCCTTTGATGATGCATTATCCATTATCACCTGGAGGCCGGGGCGACACAGACGACCTGGGAGCCAGTCAGTAGAATGACGGCGCGGGCTAGCAGTGGGGATGGCCGACGACTAAACCTTTTTTGTGGGCTTTTCCGCACTATCGCCGCACCAATCACAAACCCCTAAAACTGGCCCACGAGTACCTCTGCAAATTTAAGGGTATATAGACCATTTCTTACAGCTGATTGACCAACCACCGGCAAAGCCGACAATCTTCGAATTGAATCTTGAACAAGCGGGGATAGCTCAGTTGGGAGAGCGTCAGACTGAAGCCAAAACTTCTGTCATCACATCTGAAGGTCGTGCGTTCGATCCGCACTCACCGCAGCTCACATTTTGTCTGTCAAGTCATCAGCTCTTTTTTTTTTTGAGAGCGAGGGAGAGCTGGGATGCTTGGGAAGACAGGCCCTTAGGAGCTGCGGAAGGGAGCCATAGATAGCACCGCCATGACCTGCAATTCATTATCTGCATTTCCACTCTCAGATTTTTCTTCTTCTTTTTTTTTGGTTGAGCGCTCTATGCCTCAGACATCCGTGCTTCTATGGTATGTATCTACCGATAGCGGTCCGAAGTTATGTGCTTCGTTCGGGTTGACTGGAGGAGGAAATACGAAATGAATACAAAACGATCAAATACCTACTAGTAGGTCCACCTAGAGTTGGGGACCTACTCACCTGGCGGTGAGTAGGGGCCAAAACTTTGGGACGGCCAAAATTTTGGGACAGCAAAAAATAGGTGCTTATCTCCGAACTACACCCAACTTTAATAATTCATATAAAATTAAATAAAATAGATAAAAAGAAAATCTTTTTATATATATAATCCTATATAAAAAGATTTTTTATATATCTAAAGTCCGGAATTAAAACCTTTATAGTTGGCTGAGAAAAAAAGAAAAGTTTTTCTATCGTAGCCACATAAAAAATTGGTGGGAATCTGTTAGTAGAATTTTTTTTGGTGTAAAAATCGTCGTTTTTTGGTTGGGTGCGATTCCCACCTATTTCTTGGTGTCCCAGAGTATTGGCCGCCCGCAAGTTTTGGCCCCTACTCACCGCCAGGTGAGTAGGTTCACAACTTCCGTGGACCTACTAGTAGGACCGAACCCCCCCTAAAATAACGCGCGTGAGTCCGACGATCTGTACCTAGCCAACCGACCGAAGTATTAGAAAGGCGAGAGAAAAGTTAGAGACAACCATCATCGTCTATCTGCCTTTTGGTATTTTGTTCTATCTATCTATCTATCTATCTATCATACCTTTCTTTCTTTGACTTTATTTAAGATACTTAACAGAGCTAAGTAGCTTTTTTGAAAAAAATGTCTCCGTCTCCCTCCCTCCCAGACCCCGTCTCGAGAAAAAAGTGAGCCCGATGCGCGGGTTGAAGGTGGATATGGATGGGGGCATGGGGGGCCATGGGCGGTAGGTAATAGTTAAAAAAAGGAGGGGGAAAAGTAAAGTAAATAAACGTAAACAAAAAACTTCTGTTTTGTTTGATTGATCTCTAAAGGTCGTGCGTGCGTGGGTTCTGGAGCCGCAACTTAACCCAGACTGACTGACAAATTTGTTCTGTTCTTAATAATCAATGTATGTAGGTATGTAGGTAGGTTATGTATCTACGTTACTTCATCAATCGATCGTCTCATCGTCGCGCCGTCTCTGACAAACAATCCTACTTGTTATGTGAGAACAGACCGACCGACCGGCCAGCACGAACAACTCCCCCCCCCCTCTCCCCAAAATCCGGATCACCATCACCATCATCATCAGATAGCAATAAAGAAACTCTTCTCCCCGTCCTTAGGCACGACCCTCGCGCGCTCCATGATGGGATCCACGCACGACAGCCTGATGCGCTCGGGCGTAGCCGGGCTCTCGAGCCTCAGTAGACCATCACTCCCCTCCTCCTCCTCGTCACTACCGGCGGGTCTTCTAGAGGCGACGACGCCGTAGTCGGCGCGCGCGGCCTTGAGGGCGTCGCGGATGGCGAAGAAGACGGAGCTGCCCATGAACAGCGGGGGCTCGCCGACGCCGCGGCTGCGCTGGATGGTGCGCAAGTTCTTCCACTCGACCCCCTTCAGCAGGCCGACGTTGAAGACCTGCGGGATGTCGCGGAACCCGGGGATCTTGTAGGCGCCCGGACCCTTGGTGGCCAGGTTGCCGGCGGCGGCGCCGTTGCGCAGCCACAGGCTCTCCTCCATCGTGTACAGGCCCAACCCTTGCACGAAGGCGCCCTCGATCTGGCCGTAGTCGATGGACGGGTTGATGGACCGCCCCACGTCCATCTTGACGTCGGCGCGCAGGCAGGTCCAGGTGCCCGTCAGGCAGTCGAGCTCCACCTCGGCCGCCGCCACCCCCTGCGTGAAGTAGAAGAACATGCGGCCCGTGTTCTCGCCCCACGTGTACCCGATGTCGGGCGTCTTGTAGAACCCGTTGGCGCTCAGGTTGACGCGGTCGAAGTAGGCGGCGTGCGCGAGCTCCTTCATGGTCGCGCCGGCGCCGAGCTTCTCGCGGTAGGGCGCCAGGCGCGCGTTGATCTGCTCGCACGCGTTCCACACCGCGTACCCGTTCAGGTCCGACGACGCCGAGGCCGCCGTCGGCGACGTGTTGGCCACCGTGTTGGTCGACGTGTCGGTGATGTGCACGCTCTCGAGCGGCACCCGCAGCGCCTGCGCCGCGAGCGTGATCATCTTGGTGTTCAGGCCCTGGCCCATCTCGGTGCCCCCGTGCGCCACGAGCACCGACCCGTCGTGGTAGACGTGCACGAGCGCGCCGGCCTGGTTGAGGAAGAGCGCCGTGAACGAGATGCCGAACTTGGTCGGGATGATGGCGAGACCCCGCTTGCGCCACTTGTGCGACTTGTTGAACGCCTCCACCGCCTTGCGCCGGTTGGCGTAGTCGGCCTCCTCCAGCACCTGCTTGTACATCAGAGGCACGTGCCAGTCCTCCAGCGGCGTGTTGTAATGGGTCAGCTCGTCGGGCTCGTAGAAGTTGATCTGGCGCAGCTCCTCGACGGGCATGCCGAGGCGGTCGGCAACCTCAGACATGTACGTTTCCGCGAAGAACAAGCCTTGTGGTCCACCGAACCCCCGGAAGGCCGTGTTCGACATGGTGTTGGTCTTGCACAGACGGCCCCGGATGTGGACGTTCGGGATCTTGTAGCAGTTATCCGCGTGCGTCATGGCTCTCTCGCAGACGCCGGCACTCAGGTCGAGCGACCAGCCGGCGTTGGCGAACAGATCCATGTCCAGGGCCTGGAGCTTGCCGTCCTTGTTGACACCCACCTTCCACTTGGCGAGGAAGGGGTGTCTCTGGCCAGACATGACCATGTCCTCATCTCGGTTGAGCATGCACCTCACCGGTTGCTTGGCCTTGTTCGCGGCTATGGCCATGATCGTGCTGAGATGGACACACCTGGTCTCCTTGCCACCGAATCCGCCACCTAGGCGCTTGACGCGGCATACGACTTTGTTGGCGTCCACTCCTAGCACCTTGGAAGCGTATGCTTGGCTAGACTCAATGTCGGTCAATGAAGTGCAGGCAGAAACAAGATAACATACCATTCCGTAGGGTTCTGACTACTGCTCCAAATCTCCATCTCGCCGTCTTCCTTCGGGATAGCCAGGCATGCATTCGTCTCGAGGTAGAAATGCTCCTGTCCTCCCATACGCGAAACACCCGAGAACGTGTAGTCGCAATCCTTGAAGGCTTCCTCGGGGTCGCCCTTCTTGATGTACCTGTAGAAGTTGTGGTAGCTCTCCTTCTCGATGGCCTCCTCCATGGTAAAGACTGCTGGCAGATCCTCGTACTCTACCCGCACAGCCCTGACTCCCTGAACCGCCTTGGCTTGGGTAGTTGCCAGGACGATGGCGATGGGCTGCCCCGCCGTGAAGACCTCGTCCTCGGCGAAGAACAGGTCGTCGAACTGTGGCGCGCCCCATTTGTTCTGCTCAGGTTTGATGTCATTCTTGTCCACAACCTCGACGACCCCCGGTATGTCCAGCGCGGCCGAGTAGTCGATCGACTTGATTTTGGCATGTGCCCTCGTAGAGAGCACCAGGGCTGCATGCAGCTCGTTCTTGAAAGGCGGTATATCGTCTGTGTACTGCGCTTCTCCCGTCGTCTGCTTCAGCGCGGCCACATGGTTGGCGGGCTTACCCAGTGTCTCCTTCGCATACTCGTCAGTCGCCTCCTCGTCATGGCGACCGGAGGAGAGGGCTCTATCGAGCTCCTCGACGGCTTGACTATCGCCGTGCTCACTCTCGGCGCTGATACCAGCCAACACATCGTGGTAGAACCGGTAAAAGAAGCTGAGGGCTAGAGCTTTCCGGTAAGATGCCATGCCTCCAGGTACACTGAACACAAGATCGAAGTCGGTTCCTAGCGCGTTCATCGCTCCCTCAATAGTGTCTGGGTGGGCGAGCATCTTGCCCTTGAGGTATTCGTTGGTTTTCTTTGCCGCCACAGTAAAAGGAGCCATACCGCCATAGACCAGGTTGGCATGCTCAACGGTCCCCTTTTCGTTCACCCTCACATGGAGAGCGCTCGTGACAATGGCGATATCGTCATCTTTCCTCTTTGCTTGCTTGTAAGCTCTGAAGTAGTCGCCCTTCTCTCGGGTTATGGGGATGCGAATGGACGCAATGATGGCATCCGGTTCCAATGCCGTCCTGCGATAGCCTTTGAAGAACGTGGCCATAGGTAACTCGGTCTCCTTGCTCTTCGACTTGGCGATCAGTACACAATCAGCTGCCATAAAAACAGGGTTCAGGTCGGATATGGGCGAAGCTGTGGCCAAATTGCCGGCGGGCGTCCCGACATTTCTGATCTGTCGACCAGCGAAGTACTTGAGTTGTTTATAGATAGCCTCGAAGACCTGACCCTTCGCGTCACCGTAATGTTTGATGGCTTCCTGGCAGATGTTCTCCAGGTCAGTAAGAATAACATTTCCGCCGATCTCGAGATAATCGTTCTTGAAGGCGTAGTGCCGCAGTTCGGGGATGTCCCCGACGAAAACGGACACCGGGTACTCCAAGGCCTTGAACTTAATCTCAATCTGAGTCTCGGTACTTCCTCCGATAATCTTGGCGTTGGGGTAGACGCTCTTGATTTCGAGAAGCTGATCCAGAGTGACCGGGCGGTACCATCGTTTCCTCTTATTACCGAAGGACAGGGGCTTGAACTCATGTTTCCTCAGGGCAGGCGGGAAGATCAGTTCCGTGTTCGGGTTGTACTCGATGAAGTCCGGGCGGACGAACTTCTTGATCGGCTGCCCGTCGTCCAAGCTCTTGTTCTTACAGCATCCGCCGTCCGGGCCGCTGCCGTTGCCGT